TGGCGATACACGTTAATGGAGATGGGTTAAACGAATATGTGAGAATTAGTCAGTAAGAGGCTAGAGATCATGGGTCAGGCAGTGTTTTAAATGAATACAGTTTCTGTGTGGTTATTTCAGGTGTAAGCTAGAGGGGTGGTCGGGACAAACAAGGGGCCCCTCTCCCCTACAACATATAAGGACAGAAATTTATAATATAACTAAGGATTATGATGATTTAACAAAGTGGCAATTGCAGGTTCTCCTCAACGATCCATGGATTAACTATCCCTGGGTAGTTTGCTAAGTTTCTATCATGTTGAGCAGGTCTTAGGTCCAATTAAAAAGCTATTGGTAACCAACAACTTATGTGTGCCTTTATTGCACACAGTGTTACCATCCCATGCTGGTCATTACTATGGTTCACAGGCATCAGAGCTGGGTAGGGCTGTGGGTTGCTTCTCTCCTTTGGAAACTTGCAGGACACCTTCTGGTAACCTGAAAGCCAGACCTTAGGCAGTTCATCTCCAGTTTTATCCTTTAAAGGCCTACCTCCTCCAAATAGACCCTGCTAACAACCTGTTAGCTATGATCTCAGCACATTAATCCCTGTGTGAAGTCAGTGCTATAAGTTCAGCTACCATTCCATAGTGCCACCTAGTGCATCAAACCATGAACATGTGAGTCTTGTGGAGGGGCATCTTATATACATATGGCAACAATTATTTAGACTTAATATGGGTTTACCATTTTAAATTTTCAAAGACTATAGGTTATAAAAAGTAAACTTATAATAGTGATGCATTCATGAGTAGAAAAGCCAGTTTCACAGCCTGTGTCTAATAGGAGGTGAGTGTTCATGATGTGTAAGGAATTCTGTTGTTGTGAGATGCCTGTTGCTGCAGGCAGCAAGCGCCTTAGAAAGTCAACTTAAATATGAAAAGTTTATTTTGATTTATGATTTCAGACGGCTCATTCCATGGTTACTCGGTTCCATAGATCTGGGTTTGTTATGTTATTTATAATGGACTAAAATCAGAAATAACCTGAATGCTTTTGAGTTGATTAATGAAATCTGGCTTAATCATATACTAGAACATCACTCAGGCATAAGAAGAAATAATACTGCTGCACATGCTAGAAAATAGACCCTAAAAATTATTATGTATGACAGAATTTAGACAAAAGACAAGTTACATGATTGTATTTTTGCTAAATGCCCAATTTATGTAAATCCAGGGACAAGGCATAACTAATGCTCCCTTGTGTTGGGGTAGGTGGGAATCTGAAGAGATTCCTCCAGAGCAAAAGGCACCTTTCTGAGGTGATGAGGAAGTGGTGAGGTGAAACTGTATTTACCTGCAACTTTCCTAAAACTGGTGGAAATCAATACTTGAATACATTGCATGGTGTGTGAGTAATACGTCAATAAAACACTGTCCAAGTTGATTCCATAGCAGTTCCTTCTCACAAATTCAGAGGCTGTGGCTCTGATGATTCTTATACAATTTCACAGATATCTCAGCGCTCAGAGCAGTTTCTGAAGCTACACTTAGAATTTGTCAAGCACAGAATAGACATGTGTTAGATGGGTATTGAGTAAGTTTTAGAAAATGCAATATCCCCCCCCCACACACACGTGTGAATTTATTCAAATGCGGCCCTGAATGAAAATAAAAAACAACCTTGAGAAGCTGGCAGAGGAGAGATTTTGAAACTCTTTCTATATCAGAGAAGGATAGATTGATACAGGCCTTGGAGAGATCTGAAACAGCTCTTAGCAAGACAGAGACAAGATAAAGCTTCTGGCAGACACACAGGTAGTACACAGGAAAGATTTGGAGGTGTAAGTATAGAGAGGGAAGCTCGTGGGAAAACAGAGTATAAGACTCAAACAAGGATATTAGCATGTGTGGAAGAGAAAGCAGGCATGCTCAGGTAAATATGTAAAAGTGAAAATAAGCAATCACTAATGTAGCATAAAGCTAACACCCCAGAATATTTCTACCAATGAAAAAAAATCCATCATTTAATCTATTAGACTTCACGATTATGTAATTTTATGTTAATTTTGGAGATGAGAAATTATTTTAACATACCTGGGCCAGGCACAAGTCTCAGTAGTTTTTATTTGTGTCGCCAATACAGTGAGAAAATGAATATATCATAAAAGACAGTGTCAGATAGCAGCCTGAATAAATACACTTACCTTTCATATACTTGATCCAGAAAGCACTCTCCTTTGCCTTTATTGCCTACAATAACATAATCAGCTCTGACAAACACAATTTAATTTCCCTGCTTTAAAATAACTTACGCTCTGTTAAGTGGTTTGAGGCCTGTCACTGCCAGCTGTACACCCTAGCCCTCAGGAATGGGATTACTACAATCTTAAATCTGCATCTTTAAAACAAAAGATTTCTTCATTTTTACTTTTTGTGTCTGAGTGTTTTACTTCCATGTATGAAAGTGTACTTTGTGCATGCACGGTGCCTGTGGAGGCCAGAAGAGAGTACAAGATTCCCTGGAAATGGAGCTATAGAGCAATATAAGTCGCCATGTGGGTGATGGGAACCAAACCTAGATCCTCTGGAAGAGTAGCGAGTGGTCTGAGCTGCTCAGCCATCTCTCCAGCTGCCACAGTTACTAATTCCCAAGACAGATCTTCATCGTGTAAGACAAAGGTCAGTAACCAGCTCATCCTTGGGTTCCTGAGACATCGAGCCACTACTTTGACCACAGACTTCTCCTGTCTCTTGTGTCCATCACAGTACCAGTGAGGAGCTCTTGAAATATTTTAGGAAAGGTTGTGAAAACACGGGGTATATGCATTTGAAATGAGCCTTGCAAGAACGCTTAAACTAAAGAAAAAAGCAATGTTTACTTGGCAGGGATTCACAATAATCTATATGAATGAACAGACAGAAACCCGGAAATAACAGGTTTAGGCAGACTGGAGACCTGGGGTCAGATCCAAAGACATCTCGGCAAGTGGGAGATGCAAGGGGAACAAGAATTAGTATCAGAAAGTACAGAGTCTGAATCCTGCCTGATGTTTCCCAGAGTGTGAGGAACGATGAAACATCAGGTATGGTCTGAATATGTACTCTGCACACTTCTTCACCTTGTAGGTTAATCACCAATGTAATAATATGTGGGGTGTGGTTTTTCACAAAGTGATTGAGTCATGAAGGTGGCGTCCTTATGAAATGGGACTGTTGCCAGTATACAAACTATAACATAGCTTCTGCTATAAGGATATAAAGAGGGTAAACGAGACTGCATAAGAAACCTGTTATAAGAAAAAAAAACATTAAACCCACCCAGCCGTTTATTTGAACAAAGAAAGACTCATTTATGAGGCAGCATTCTGAGGGACTAGTGATTCCGGGAGCTCTACTCACTAACATGGGCAGTCATTAAGGAAGACAAAAAGAAATCCCTGATTAATCACAACTCAGTATTTGCCTTTCGGGGGGGGGGGATGGTATCATGAGTTATTTGCTTCAGAGGAAAGCAGCCAGGTTAGCCTAGGATTGGCTGAAATACAACTGTTAAGATCAGCTGTCATTCAGCTATCTGTTATAGGAATATATTCTTAAATTAGGTTGCAGTTTGCTGCACAGGAATGCGAAGCACAGAATCAGTAGTCATTCAGATCTTAGGCACTCTAACATCCAGAGCTGTGTGAGACAAATTTCTATGTACATTACGTAGGATAAGATATACTGTTGTTGCAAAAGCATGGACAGACAGCACTAAGACATAAATCTACAAGGTATAGGTTTTATCACCTCCAGTATAAATAGACGCTGGTTGGTATATTCTCACATATCTCAGCAATTTGCACAGGTATCGTTAGCTATGACACCACAGGGGCTACACGTTTAGGGAACTACAGTGTTGAGATTGCTTGGCACCCAATCCGCCTACTTAGAATTCACATGTGTCTTGGTTTGTCTGTTGTCGGTTTCTGACACTGTGTGAGTTCATCATATAAAATTCGAAGGCCCATGTAATTTGGAATAAAAACGTGTGTATAAGAGGAAGGTCAATAAAGACCATTCATCTGTAAGTCTCTAAGAAGTGTGGACTTTTGGTCCTCAAAGGCATGGGGGAGGCTGTATGTACTAGCTACCTTTTATTGTTGTGCTAAAATACCAAGGCAACTTAGAAAAGGAAGCGTTTATCTTGGCATGTGATTCCAGGGGCATCAGAGTCCGCCCTGTGGAGAGGCACAGCAGCAAGTGCCTAGCAGCAGCAGGAAGCAGAGCTATCATGTGTTAAGTACAGCATGAAATGAAGCAGAGAGCATAGTGGAAGTAGAAAGGGCTACACCCTCTCAAATCTTGTCCCCCGTGACATACTTCCTCCAATAAGACCATACCTCCTAAACCTCCCCAAACAACGCTACCACCTGGGGAACCAAGTGTTCAAATTCCTTTGCTAATGGGGGATATTTCTCATTTGAACCACCACATTCCACTGCCCCGGACACTCATGACCACACTGTAACACAAAATGTACTTAATATAATTTCAGAACTCCCCATTGTCCTTCACAGCCTCGAGAGTATTTAAAACTCAAAAGTTCAAAGTCTTTTCTGAGACTCAAGGTAGTCTCTTAATTGTAAACCTTATAAAAATCAAAACGCAAATTACTTACATTCAATGTATAATAACCCAGAATACACACTACTCTTCCAAATGGGAATTCTGTAACAACATCAGAACTCAACAGGGAAAAACACAGTATCCTGTGGCTCCACATCTGATAATAAGGGTTTAGTTGCCTCTACTCCTTGATTTTGCTGCCTATAATATACACCCCTCTCCCCGACTACTTCTATCCGCTTTATGTAGTTCTCCCATGGCTATGCAATCACCAAAATGTTGGTATCTTTACTGCAATTCAGCCTTCACTTTCGTAGCTTCCTGCAATGCGTCTCAGAGCCTCTTGCCTTCCCAAAGTCCTCATGCAGGGATGCCTCTCCCATAGCTTTCCTAGCCTTAGTAGTTCTCTGAAGACATGTAAGAAGAATTCATGACTCGCGTCGCGGCCGCGGAGACTAGAAGGAGGACTCCGGATCCGGCTCGGCGCTCGCCCTCGCTTCGCCATGGAGAAGACCGAGCTGATCCAGAAGGCCAAGCTGGCCGAGCAGGCCGAGCGCTACGACGACATGGCCACCTGCATGAAAGCCGTGACGGAGCAGGGCGCCGAGCTGTCCAACGAGGAGCGCAACCTGCTGTCTGTGGCCTACAAGAACGTGGTCGGGGGCCGCCGGTCCGCCTGGAGGGTCATTTCGAGCATCGAGCAGAAGACCGACACCTCCGACAAGAAGTTGCAGCTGATCAAGGACTATCGGGAGAAAGTGGAGTCGGAGCTGAGGTCCATCTGCACCACGGTCCTGGAATTGTTGGATAAGTATTTAATAGCCAATGCAACTAATCCAGAGAGTAAGGTCTTCTATCTGAAGATGAAGGGAGATTATTTCCGGTATCTTGCTGAAGTAGCATGTGGCGATGATCGAAAACAGACGATAGATAATTCCCAAGGAGCCTACCAAGAGGCATTTGATATAAGCAAGAAAGAGATGCAGCCTACACATCCAATCCGCCTGGGTCTGGCCCTTAATTTTTCTGTATTTTACTATGAGATCCTTAATAATCCAGAGCTTGCCTGCACACTGGCTAAAACGGCTTTTGATGAGGCCATCGCAGAGTTTGATACACTGAATGAAGACTCCTACAAAGACAGCACCCTCATCATGCAGTTGCTTAGAGACAACTTAACATTATGGACATCGGACAGTGCAGGAGAAGAATGTGATGCAGCGGAGGGGGCCGAAAACTAAAGGCATCCAGGGTGCTGTCCTTCGTTCCCTCAAGAAAACCTTTTTACATCTCCATTCCTTATTTCACTTGGATTTCCTCTAGCAAGGAAGCCTATTCGTGTGTATGGGATCAACTGTTTATAGTCTTTTCACACTGCAGCTTTGGGAAAACTCCATCCCCTGATTTGTGTTGTCTCGGCCTTCCTGGTGTGCAGTTACTGCTGTAGAAAAGTATCAATAGCTTCATTTCATATAAACACGAGTAACTTCCAGACACTTGTGACTGACAGTACATTGGGTATTTAAGTAATCTGAACCAGTTCTGCAGGGGGCTGTGTTTTGTATTACTGTGAAGATATGGAAATGTAGTGCATTACAATTTACAGTAATTGTGATAATAACGCCCCGATTTCTACATTCCCTCTCTGACCCTTCTTTGGGGGTTAATCCTTTCAGAAGCAACTTTTCCATAATCTTACTGCATATTCCTTTTTTAGTAGAAATCCAGAAGTGTTGGATTGGATGGGAAAGCTCTTAATGCATCCAGTCTTGGGGGGTCACAGATTGAAATGTCTCCTATGTCACATATTCTGGAGGTTACATCTGTCTGTGACAACGGGGAGTTTCCTTTATGCATTCTTCATTTGCTGCTGTTTGAGTTGACAACTTCCTTCCCAATAAAAATTCACTTACACCTCCAAAAAAAAAAAAAAAAAAAGAAGAATTCATGACCCTTTGAGTCTTGCCTTTTCCATGTGTCTAAGACAGCACCATGTTGAGAAACCTGCTAAGTTTGGCTAAAACCTGGGATGGATCCTGCCCCGTGAATCACATTACCAGCTGCCTTGTTTGCTGTTGCCTACCAAAAGCAAAAAAATCTCATAGGCCCGTTCGTTTCAGAATCTGGAAGCTTAGCTGGTTGGGGCCTCACCCTGATAAAACACCAGGGAAGATTAAGCCTCTCTTTAATGGTGCTTAACTCCTTACCAATTGTAGCCACTTTCGGGCATGCCTTGGCTGTAACATTCCGAATGCTCCATGTCTTGCCAAACGGTATTATTTTGTTTTCTTTCTGTCTGACTTGCTCCCTTTCATTGTAGACCTGAAGAAGCTTTATCAATAAAAAACCAGGCCACAGACTCAACTTCATGTAGTTCTCAAATTTTCTTCACCAAAGAAATTAATCTGTCACTTTTAAATTTAGCTTCAGGCAAATTCTTAGGATAAAAACAGAAGGTGGTCAGATCCTTTGTCCAAGCATCACAAGAATGGCTTCCAGCCCAATCGCTGAAATTCCTTCCCTCTGAACCCTCTGGAGCTGGGTCTCCACTGTCCTCATTGCTCTCTGTCTTTCAGGCCTTATTAGGATTACCCATTTAAAGTGTTCATCTGCTTTTCTAGTCCAGATTTCCACAGCCTTCCACATTCCTCCTCAAAGCAATGTGATCAAGTGCTTCACAGCAACAGCCTACTCTCTCGTACCAGATTCTGTATTAGTCACTTATCTGTTGCTGTAACCAAAAACATGATTGAAAGCAACTTATCTAAGAAAGAACTTATTTTGGCTTACAGTTCCAGGGGAATAAAAGTCAATTACGGCAGCTTCTCCCTCCCATTGGAGAGCTGAGGATGAAGTTGAGTGCACTAGATTGCTGTGTTTTTCTTTTCTTTTCCTTTTTCTTTCTTTCTTTCTTTTTTTCTTTTTCGAGACAGGGTTTCTCTGTAGCATTGGAGCCTGTCCTGGAAGACCAGGCTGGCCTTGAACTCACAGAGATCTGCCTGTCTTTGCCTTCCAAGTGCTGGGATTAAAGGCGTGTGCTGCCACTGCCCCATTCCTGAAGTTTTCTTATTCCCTTAACATGCCTCTCATTTTTATTCCTGGGAGCGAGCTATTTCTGACTGTGTAGCTTATATATTTTCATTTTCTTCTGTGAAAAATAAAATAGGGAAAAACCCATTTTTGCGGGGAGGGGATTTCAAGTCAGGCTTTCTTTGTGTAGCTCTGGCTGTCCTGGAACTTACTCTGTTGACCAGGCCGACTTCAAACTCACAGATAGTTGCCTGTCTCGACCTCCCTGAGTGCTGGGGTTAAAGGCGCGCACCACCACTGCTGGCAGAATCCAATTCCTTTTAATGTTTTAATTAAACAAAACCAAGTAAAAAGTATTGATTCAAGGGAACTATGAGAACATTAAGCTAACAAAATAGGCAAATCAAGGCATAATGATTTTACAAAGTGAACCAATACTTACGTTTGCAAATTTATATATAACTTCAGAGGATTTTGTTTTTGTTTTCTAAGTGGAAGACACAAGTGTTTGGAAGACTTTTTTTCTCTCCTGTTAAAGGCTCATTACGTAAAATGAGGCATTTATGCATTTCTGTAGCTGCTTCACCACATAGATAAAACTCCCATTACTAGTTAAGCCAGTCAGACAACATTTGAGAACCAGTCTTCAGACACCTTTCATTTTCCTCCAGGAGGAAGAGGCTGCTAACTAGGGAAGGGTGTCTTATCTTTCAGTAAAAGCAGGAGCTATCACACTGCGTGTCAGAAGTCAAATGAAATCTCTCAAGCAGAAACACGGTGACAACATTCTAACTGGCGATCCAACAGACTGCACTTATCTGGTGAAAGAACCTTCAACCCACAACCTCAGAACACGAATTTTCCTGTTAGCTGTGTGGGACCTTTCGTTTAAAGTCTTTCTGCTCTTTAAGAGTGTAAAAGTCAAGCGGTATGATATTTCATAGGAAAAACTTCATGAGGTGGAATATTTGTCATAAACTGCCTTTACGGTATTGAGCAAGCTGGCCCTGCTACCACAGGCCTATAATCCTAGCTACTTCGGAGGCAGAAGGATCAAGAGTTCAAGTTCAGCCCTGGACTACAAGGTACATTTGGGCTCAGGTGGGCAATTTAAAAATAGAGCAGGAAATATATTTCAGAGGTCTTAGTTCAGTCGCCAGTACCCATCCCCACACAAAGGCAAGAGGGAAATGTTCCTGCTACTCAGAAACTTAGAAGAATCAGGATTTTTATAAGCAACTAAAATTAAAATGGCTTTTGCAGAATCAGGAAAAAGATTTGTACAAAATCAATCCCCCTTTCATGTTGAATAGATGGCTTACACATTATTGAGAAGGTGAAAGAAGAAGGTGTCTAAAACATAGCACCCTGTCTTCTGACTCTGCAGCAGGGAGGCTGACCTTGTTTTTTGTCTCCCCCCCCCCCCACCCAGGAACAGTGTTCCACAGAAATACAAGATTTAAAATAATTGTCTTCCTCAGCTAGGAGCAACAAATTGAGTCCAGCCAGCCAAGAATGAGTCAGATGACTACACACACACAGTTGCCAGTGGTTTTGTTATTTTTTTCCTTTTCACATGGTCCTGGAAGGGCAAAAGTGGAAAAGCGACTGCAGCACTAGGTTTTGTTCCTTCTATAAACTGCAATACAACAGCTGCCGCAGCTGTGTTAGGGCTACTCACGGACCCTCATCTTAACATCTGAACTCATCACAACCCCCGCACTCACTAGGATGTGCCTGAAAAAATACATCTAGGATTACCTTGTTAACGTCTCCTATGGAACTGGAGAGTTTAACTTGATATTTTGTTTCCATATTAAAACCAAAATATTTGCTGGGCGGTGATGGCACACACCTTTAATTCCAGCACTCAGGAGGCAGAGGCAGGTGAGTTCGAGGCCAACTTGGTCTACAGAGCTAGTGCCAGGACAGACTCCAAAGTGACACAGAAGAACCCAAACCAACCAAACCAAACAAAAACAAAAATAATATTTACAGGAGAAATTGTGAGTTAAAAGGATGCTGAGACCGTAGCTTTTATGGACAGATTTGTTTCGTGCATATGTAAATGCATGTGTTCATGCACGTGCCACCATACGTGTGAGGTCAGAGGACGATTTGAAGTAGTTGGTTCTCCCTTGGCACCATGTGACATGTGACTCCCAGGGGTCAAATGAGGTCACCAAGCTTGGAGACAAGTGCTCTTATCATCTCACCTGACCATAGAAAGATTTTAATTGAACCGGATTGTTAATCCTTCACTGCCTTAGTGTACTTTCTAAGGAAGTTAGAGTGTCATTTAATTTTCTCATGGGTTTCACATTATCTCAAAAGTTAATCAGTCTTTCAGGACGTGGGCAGTTTTTTAGCTCATTGAAAGTTGTACTGGGCTTCCTGGTGGTTTTCTTTTTCTTCTTCTTTTTTTTTTTCACTCTAACACGTGTATAGAAGGTTCTGAAGAAATCGAATTTGTTCAGGTCCTCTGGGTGCCAGTCAAAAGATAAGGCTTGAGCCAGGCAGGATTGCGCGCGCGCGCGCGCACACACACACACCCTCGGATAGGCTGGCATAAAGAGGATGGAGAGGCAGGGGGCGGGGGGGGGGCAGCCCGAGCCACATATATCATGTTTCAGTGGGATGCTTTCTCAAACAAAACTTCAAAAAGTTAATCCAGCACCGAAACTGACGAAAATGTAGTGCCTAGCATTTGTGTGCTCCTTGTGTTCCAGAGCCTCGCCTGGCTTTGCTCGTACAAAACTATGACAGGCAGGGCATTACAAGGTGAGGTGACTTATGCAACGTGGCTAAGGACAAGGCAGACACTTCTGTGTTTGTACCTGCTGTACAATCTCTGGAATTGTTGGGACTCCGGTGCCAGGAAAATCCTGGAACACAAACTAGGATGATGGGGGAACAAGGGCCCAGTTCTAATTTTGTCCCTCTGTCGGTTAAGAGGGTCACATCTCTTGAGGGTCACTCAGAACGCTGCTGGTTTTCTGAGAAATTTAAGGCCAAAGCCAGACTTAAAGAGCGTGGGGGTGGTACTCGAGAAATGTTAGAAATAGGAGCTGTCTAGACCTGGGAGAAAATCTTAATCCGTGACCCTTTGTGCCTGTACATATTCCCGAGGCCGACTTGGAAAAGTAACAAGTTCAGCAAGAGACCCTCCAGTCCCCTTCAAACCTGGAACCCTGGTCCACCACAAGCGTGGAGCTAAGGGCTTGCACACACTAGCGCCTCCTCCAGCCTAAGGTGGCGCGGCGGTGGCAGCGGAGGCGCCCGCAGATAACCCCAGCACATCCGGCCTGGGGATCTTCTCAGGGGACTCGCGCTGCCAGTGGCGCGCTCCCACTCGGAGCCGTGGGGCCCCTCCCTGTCTCGCTCCTTGACAAGCCAGCAGTCTGCAAGGGGCGGCACCACTCCGAGGTCCCGCGGACGTCACGGACGGGCGGTCGAGCCTCCAGCCCGCCCCTCCGGCTCGCCTTCCCTTCCCTCCCGAGCCGGTGACGCCGCCGCGGCCCCGGCAACCGGCGCTCGCACACACTCCCGCGCGCTCCGCTCCTCCACCTCCTCTCGCGCC